TGCGCTGCCGTTTGGTTGTGCGTGACTTTAAAGGGCCCACCTCTGCTTTAGCTGATGGCATCTATTCTCCTACTACTACCTTAGAGTCTGTGAGGTGTCTGTTGGGGATGTATGCGCATTTCGGAGGGAAGGTGATTTCGGGAGATATTTCTGTGGCCTTCATGCAGGCTAAGCTGTTTTCTACTGAGGTGGTGAAGCTGCCGGAGAACTGTAGGACAGTGTCAGGTGAACGTGTGCATTGTCTGCTGAAGCGTGCCATGAATGGTTTGCGGATTGGGCCTTTGGCTTGGTTTCGTGAGCTAGGAGAAACACTGAGAAAACTTGGTTTCTTTGTTACTGCTGACAGCACTGTGTATCGCAAGGTGATCAAGGAGAAAGGCAAGGATGCCATTGTGTTGGTGTTGGCCTATGTAGATGACATCTTGGTTTTCAGCACGGTTGCGAGTGTAGCTGAGAAAGTGTTTGAGGAACTGAGTAAAGTGTTCAAGATGAAGCGCACGGGAACGCTTCAACCGGGAGAGAAATCGGTGATCTCCTTCCTTGGGAGAAACATTTATCAGAGGAAGACCGGAGACTTGTACTTCGGACTCAAACCCGGGATGCTCCATAGCTGTGCGGAAGAGTATCAAATCACGAAGGGAGCGAAACTCCCCAAGCTTGAGCGTTTGTGGACCAGTCTGGAATCCACCCCGATCACGCATGAGGCCTATCAGCGCTACCGGCGCGTGTTGGGCAAACTGTCGTGGCTAGCTTTGACAAGAGCTGATTTGCAGTTTGTTGTAGGTTTTCTGGCCCGGAGCCAGAGCAACCCAGACTCCAGGAGTGAAGCGTGTATTCGAGCTGTGCTGCGTTGGATTCTCACGCTTGGGAATCGGGTTCAGCGGATCCCGGCACAGTGGGTGAACTATCGCCCTTCGGAAAGTACGCGTGTGATCGATTGTTTCTGTGATGCTAGCTGGAATTTGCCCTCTGTGAGTGGGGCGATTATCTGCTGGCAGTGCAACCTGCTGAAGAGTTTTAGCCGTAAACAGACGGTTGTGGCCCTGAGCAGTGCCGAGGCTGAATTGAGTGCTTTGGTAGAGACTGTGAAAGAGGCTTTGTTTGCAGGGTTGCTTCAACAGTCGTTTTTGGAGGGATTGCCTGAGGATGATACCGGAAGCTTTTGGATCCGGATTTGTACCGATTCTGAGTCGGCAAAGGCGATTGCTTCAATGGAGGGACTCTTGAGAAGGGTTCGTCACCTGGAGTTGCGGTGTGCTTTCCTGCAGCAGATGGTTCAGTCGGGGAGAGTGATCCTCGAGGTTGTGGCCGGAGCATATAATGCCTCCGACGGCCTGACCAAGAGTATGGTCTTTCAGGAGCAGCTGGACAACCTCTACGAGGTAACCGGTTTGGTTTCTTTTGAAGACGAGTTGGGTGAGTTTGAGCTGGAACGCCTGACTGCAGAAGAGCCGGTAAACCGTTCTTGTGTTCCTGAGGAGTACGTTTCACTGTGTGAAGCTGTGGCGAAGAACCAGGTCACCTTTGTGGTCGTTGAACTGTTCTGCCAGGAAGAAAGTGCCTTACAGAAGGCATGTGAGAAGATTGAGATTGCCTATGTGGGCATCACTGAAAAGCTTGACTTTTGTTCTGAGCAGACGCAGTGTTTTCTGAAGGAGTTGTTTTCTGTGTTTAGTTGTGGCTTGAAGACGAAGATCTACTGCCATATCTCCACTCCCTGTACCACTGGGTGTCGTTTGCGTTACCGCGGGTGGCGCAAGTACAGTCAAGAGAAGGGGGAAGAGAAGAAGAAGTTGCATCAGCGTGCTTGGGAACTTCTTGAAGGTTTGTTGAAACCGGTTGCTCGGAGTGAACGCTTGTTGTTGACTCAAGAGTGGCCTCTGCAGAACGACCTCTGGAAGGACCCGCGGTATCTTCAGGTTGCTTCAGAATTGGGGCTTTCTGAGGGTATAGTGGTAGACCGCTGTGCGTACGACTGTGTGTTTAAACGGTGGTACTTTGACACGAACAGTAAACGCTGGGTCAAAGTGTTTCCTAAAAGGGAATGTGACCAAGTGCATGAACATGTACAGGTGGAATTAAAAGATTCAGGGTTCTATCCTGAAAAGCTAGGTCTAGAGCTTGTAAAGTGTACTCAAAAGACACTAGGTGCCGCATCAGTCCAAGAGGGGGTGTGAAAATTCCATTTGAAGGACATAGGGAAGGCCAACATGGGCCTGAGGTTCACACAACCAGGACAGGCTGTGCCGGAAATGGTGATGCTGGACGTGCTGGGGTGGGTCCCTTACCCTGAGGGCACCAAGCCCCAGTGGCCAAACGTCAAGCAGCTCACGGGCTTCTGGAAATCGATCGATGATCCCTTGAGAGCTGAGCTAAAGCTGACAGTGATCAAGCATCACTCGTCGCTTGAGAGCACCACGGTTGCTCTCAAAGAGCTGGCGAAAACCAAGCTCTCAAAGCCGGACTTTGAGTCCCTCATGAAAGTGCTGGTGGACACCAGCGTCTTGGCGGTGACGCCGGAGGGACTGTTGGGCCAACCCCTCCTCCCGAACGAGTACCGGCACGACCTGGTGCGGGGAAAGACGTGGCTCATCCTCCCCTTTCCATAGGGACGGAAAGGTCCGGCTAAGGCCTGGACAACACCAAACTGGTGCTACCAGTACCAGCACTGCTGGTGAAAACCAGGCAACTGGTGCTAGTAGTAACCAGCCCAGCTGGTGTCTGGGCCAAAGAGCTCCAGCTGTAGGGTAAACCAGTCACCACAACCTACAGACTGGTGTCAGTAGTAACCAGCCCTGCTGGTGTAGCTCAAAGGCTGGTGCTGCTGACAAAGCTCTTCCAGCCCAGTGGAGGCCACTGGTGAGTAGAACCCACCAAAGGTGGGTAAAACCGACCGCTTGTTTCACCCCAAACCGCCGGCCGACGGCCTGGCAGCGACTTGTTCGCCCACGACGAGAAAATTCCATTTGACCTTGGATGTCCTGATGTTTTCGGCATGCCTGAAGCTGTGAGGAGTGCTTTTGAGTTAGGAAGTGACTGCACGTTCGTTTCGTCTCGTTTCGTTAGTGCTTGAAGTGTTTTGCTTGGAGACAGACAGCTGCAAGGTGTTTCACTGTCAGTCAGAGCCCGACGCGACTCCGCTTTGGCTCAAGAAAAAGACCGAGTGCTGCGCGCTCTGTTTTTCACAAGTTGGCGGACACGCCTGCAAGCGCATGCAGCGGATCGCGGCTGATGGCACATCAATCGGAAGTTTACTTTGGCAGACTTCGAAACAGGCATCCAGCATGCTCAGATGGGTCTAATGGAGTTGAGTGGTTCTGTGTTCTCCTTGTCTCAGCTCACAGTATGTGCGGCTACCGAATCGCGGATGCGGAAACCAGTGCGCACCGGATGGTCGCTAAGGGACTTTCTTCTCGAATTTGATTTCGTAAGAGCTGCCAGATTTCTCTCCACCCAGTCTAACCACCGACACGCAAGCCAAAACGCTGTTCGAATTTTTCTTCGGGCAACGAAACTGGAAGTGTTCATAGACCTTCACAAAAAAATGTGTCGGCACCACTGGAGCGGTTGATATCTGTGGTTAACAAGGCCACCATGACGGAGAGGATGTCTCCGTCTTAGTGGTTTCGCTTCCACAAGAGCCTGAACAGCTGGAAAGCTTTAACAAACCTACCGGCTTGCGCGCTTGGTTGCATCCGCCGCGCATGTGCACTGGATGTTGCTGTGGCTTGTCTGGCTACCGTGCAGTTGCTTCTGCGGAGCGTGGATTTCGAGCACAGCGGCTCCACTGGGCCCATTCGAGTGCGTCTGTTTCACCCCGCGCTCCACACCAAGAATCTGTGTTTGGGTTGCTGGAGTTCACAAACCCACTTGTCAGTCTCCACCGCCTTCGTGCACACAAGAGGTTGGGCGTGAAGCCACCAAAGAGAGTCTAGAGCGCATCTCCGCATCACCGGTCTTCGATGCGGACAACTATGTGCCGAGGTCAGAACGAGGCCGCGGGCTGTTAGTCGCCTTACGGATATGCCGTTGCTTCCAACACAGTCGCTGGGGCGGCTCCAACACTTTGTGTCGACGCTACTGCATAAATCCAATCCACCTCATGCCCTTCTCCCGCCGGTCCACTACCAGTCTGCCGCGTACCCTCTATGATACAGATGGATTTGCCTTGCCCGACCCGGAGGATCGTAGCCAAAGCTGTGCCGCCTCCATTCCCAAGGCTCCTGACGCTGCGTGGAGCCAGAGAGCTGCACTGCTGGAAGCCGTCGACATCCCGCCTGACCGCCTGGTGCCCGGGGTTGACACTATTCCCAGCAACTGTGTCCCGCCTGAGGAGGAGGATGACTGCCGAACAGCACGAGATCCTTCGCAGCTACCAGGCCAAGGGCGGGCCACAACAGCTCATAGAAGGCCCTGCGAGTGCGATGGCGCTACAGCATCTTCTGCCCAGCAGGACGGATTGCCTCTCCCTCCTTTCGCTGCCCCTTTTCTTTGCCGGCATGCGAGGTAAAGATCAGCCCTCAGAACTTCGGAGCGCGAGTGGTCGACTTTGCCGATCGTGCTCTCATGCTGCGACACTGTACGGCCAGTGAGGCTTTCCGGGTGTGCCTCACACCCCTGTTGGCTGTCTCCATAGCGCTGGCCCAGTTCTGCGACCCGGTGCTACGGTTGCCCGAAGGCCGTGTCTTTGATCTGTCGTGGTATGAGTTGGCGCGTCCGGAGATTTGGTGGTGGTTGCTATTGGATGAACTGGATGGACTACGATTCTCGCTCCCGTCCCCAATGCCAAGGCAGGTATCAAGTCACCTGTCCGTGACGGTAGTCTCATCCAAATGTCCGGGGGGCTCGAACATCGATCCGCAGCAGGGTACTCCTGTTTTAACTCTGTTTGTATGCTAGTACTCGTTGCTACTGTATGGCTCAAGTATGAAAAAGGATTCGTGCGTCCTGCTGTTAACAATAGGTTATCAGCCGTAGCTTGTATAGCTCTTCGTAGTGCAATGGACACCACAGCTCCCACAAATCCTGCAGGTGTGCCTATCTCCGAACTAGGTGATGACGACACGGAGTCCGCCCGCTCGAGATCGAATCTGGGCGCAGAGCTTCCGGTTGTCACCGCCCGGGAGGGTCGGGTAGCTCTCACTGAGCAGACGCTACGTTCGCATGTTGGGTCCCTTGGACCTCAACCAGCATACGTGCCATCACGAGCGTCGCTGACACATCAGCCCTCACCCACAGTCGTAGGCTATTCTCCGGTGCCTCCATCGCACACCTCCGTTCCAACTGTCGTGAATCAGTTGTATCAGCATCAGCAAAACGTTCTGATCAGTGCGGATCCTGCACTGATTATGGACACAGCAAATGCAAGACATGCTGAAGCCGTTCGCAACATCCAAAGCGAAAACAGGGAGCAAATTCTCGCTTTGGAAACAGGTGCCATGAGTCAAGTCGCTCAGCTGAGGCTTGAGCATGCACAGTTGCAGTCAAAAGCCAGAGCCTTTGAAGAACAGGCTAATCAAAACATCCATGCTGGTCGGCAGGCCGTAGCCCAGTACCAAATTGAGGCTGAAACAGCCGCTGCTGAAGCTGAGCAGCTAAGGCAGCGCCTCCTATCCGCTGAACAGACAGCTGCGAATGTTGTCGCCCAGGTGGAAACCGAGGCTAATCGAAGGTTGCAGGCTAATCAAGCCGACGTGTCGGCTCGTGACAACGAGCTCTCTCGCCTCAAAGGTGAGATGCAAGAGATGATGAGGATTCAAGCCCTCAACATGGAGATGCTGCAAAAGGACAATGCCGAGCTAAGAACACGCTTGGCGGAAGCCAAAGCTGACCCATTGGGCAATGAACCGGAACAGGCCGGGCCTCCTGGTCTAGGACCCTTTCCGATCCATACTCCTCCTGGCGAACCACTTGAAGCGCCTGAAAAGAGCGGTAAGAAGGAGAAAAAGAGCAAGAAATCCAAAAAGCACAAGAAAGATGAGTCGTCAGATTCATCGTCTTCTTCCATCGACAACAAGATTCTTCTGAAGATGCTCAAGAAGATGGTGAAATCTAAGAAGTCTGATAAAGAGGATGATGATGAAGAAAAGGGTTCCTCGAGTACCAAACCCAAGGTTAAAGAGGCTGAGAAAGTCGTGTTTCCCAAGTTTCCCCAGCCTGAGCAGTATAGAAACTGGCGCATAAGGGTCCGTGAAGCCATTGTCGCTGCATCGGATTCGCCTGACAAGGCGCATGCCTGGCTCAGTAAGGTCTGGGAGAAGGACGCCGACGAGAAAGAGCTTCGCGACCCGGAGGGGTTTAGCACCTTGGATGCCAAGATCCTTTCTGGGATCACCAATATCCTTGAGGGTGATTTCGCTAGGCAGACTGATACCTTCAAGGAGACCGAAGCTCACGCCGGAAGGCTGGTGAGAGGAAGACAGTTGCTGTGTCGTCTTCACAACCACTTTGCTACCAATGCACTCCATGGCTCTGTGTATGACATGGAGGACCTGATGAATTGCATCATGGTCAACGAAAACCTCACCACCTTCATTAGAAATTGGGATACGGTGCTATCAGGGATTCCCAATCCTCCAGACAACAGCGTGCTTGAACCCCTGTTCCATAGACAGGTGAAGAAGTGCAAGGATATCGATCACGACATCCAGGTCTATGAACGCGCACTGGAAGGTAGCGAGCAAAGGTCCTATCAGTTCCTGTATAACGCGGTTGCTAATCATTTGAAACGCAAGCGATTGCAGAAGAACCGCGAGCGCATTGCTCGGCAAACAGGTGTACCTACTGCGCCTGCTGCCGCACCGGCCCCTAAGCGTATTCCCAAAGGGTATTGCGTTGATTGGGTCAAGACCGGAAGTTGCAAGAGAGACAATTGCCCGTACAAGCACCAACAACCTAGGGGGCGTTCTCACACTCCTGCCGGAGGTCGTACGCCTACTAGAACCCCTAGCCCGGGAGGGAAAGGTAAAGGCAAAAAGCAGGAATGCAAATTCTTTAAGCAAGGAGTTTGCAATCGTGGAGACAAGTGTAACTTCCTCCACAACGGCCAACCTGCTGCAGCCGCCCCGGGCAGCTCAGGTGCACGAGCGAGCAGCGGCGAGAAGAAGGAAAAGAAGCACAAGAAGAAAGAGAAGAAAAGTGGTAAGGGCCGCAAAGGCTCCAGATCTAGCTCCAAGAGCTCTTCAAAGAGCGGCAGCCGAAAATCAAGTAAGTCTAGCCAAGGCTCGAAGGTTCGCGTGGCTCAGGTCGCAAGGGTGGTGCGCCCTCCGTTCCCGCTGCAGTTTGCTTATTGGGAGCAATGTTGGCTGGCTCAGCAGCCCAAGCCGATGCATTCACGTTCCGGAAGGATATGTTGAGCAATGTCGATGTTTGCACCCCGCACTATCATGTCGCACTGGCCGCAGTGTCATTCAATGACACTACTGAAAGTTTCACGTACCAAATTCCGAAAGGGAATGGCCTCTACCCCCTCGATGATCGCAATAAGCCAAGGGAGTATAGCCAAGTATATCCCGCCAACAGCCATTGGAAAGCCGATCCTGATTCCGTGAAGGAAGCTCAGGTAACCGCTAAGATGTTGCAAGCTGTTGTCAGTGATGAGGTCAAGGGCTGTAAACCGCAGTGTAAGTTCAAGTGCAACACCGAGTTTGGATGCAAACATTGCATTCCGGTTGGTTTGAAGTTCAACTGTGCCGCACCCGCCAGCAGCAAATCGCCGTGTCTGTGCATCGAATGGATTGCTGATACTGGCAGTGCGCAAGATCTCATCGCCCAGCGGGAGCTTGGGCCGGCTAATAGGCCTACGAGTCACCTGCGCCCATTCAAATGATGACTGCAAATGGGCCAAACTCCGCTTCAGAACAGTGTGATGTTTCTGTTGACTCCATTGGGATTGAGGTCAAACCATATGTTCTTCCTGATACCCCATCTGTCCTTTCAATAGGACAGCGATGCATGGAAGAGGGATTCGATTTCATCTGGAGGGCTAATTCACGACCGTACCTTAAGACTCCCGAAGGGAAGAAGGTCTATATGGACGTTAAAGATAACGTGCCGTACTTGAAGTCCTGGCATGAAAACATCAGCGTCCCTGCGCGTCGGGCCTCGTTCGGTCCTGGTAAGACGCAGATCATTGAAAGCCCCTCCGCGGCCGGAAGGCCAGCGCCGGAAGAATCATCCGAGGCTATCGCAAAGAAGCTTCGAGAGTCTGGCGACTTCTCGCATGCATCATGTTACTCCTTGTTAAACAAGGTAACTTTCAAGGCATCTAAGAAGCAGAGGTCTATCATCGCCAAGGACCCAAAGTCCTCCAAGAAGTCCGAGTATGTTGTGCTCGGAGCCTTCTCACACGGCGGGATGCAAGGCATCACTAACCGCAGTCACCAAAATAAGGAGCTAATGAAGTTCCTCAATGAGTATCTGAAACATCATGGTGCCAAGGGCCCCAGCTCTTCACTGTGCATTAATCACGGGTCCAGCGTCAAGGTGCACAAAGATGCTCACAATCATCGTGAACATAAGAATAACACTATGTGTTTGGGTGACTTCGAGGGAGGCGAACTTTGGATTCATGATGAGGAAATCAGCAGGGAGAACAAAGATTATGCTTCTGTTCGCACGCCTGACGGCAGTAAGCTGAAAGGCAAAGTTCACAAGTCCAAGCATCGTATGCTTACGTTTGATCCCAAGACGTACCACTGCGTCCGTCCCTGGAAGGGTGACAGATGGAGCATCACATCATACGTGAATCGTGCTGTACACAAGCTTGATGCTACACAGCTTGCGAGACTTAAAGAGTATGGTTTCAACGTGCCATCTAAGGTCTCAGCTCCGTCTTTGATCGAACCCGGTGATGAGGAAACGTCTTTGTATGACCTTGTTGCCGGAACACCTCCAGTTGAGAAAGGGGTTGAACTACGTGCAAAGCCCAAGGTCAAGACTAAGGGTAAGCCTGAAAAAGAAAAGAAAGTTGAACCACCCAAAGAACCTGATCCTCCGCCTACTTCGAAAGGAAGTGGTCATGATGACGAAGACGATATGGATTACCTCAATCGTATCCTCGAGGAGGAAGGTTCTGATCTGGAAGACATGCCTAAGGATGATCCGGGTGCAGCTCGCGCTTCTGACGGAGCCGCTGTCGCCCCAGATGGGGATTCCGAGGGCGATGGGAAGAAGAGAAAACGGGGTATAGAAGTCCTGAAAGCTGAAGCTAAGTCGCTGCATCATATGATGTCGCATCAGCCGAAGAATCCGTTCTGTGATATTTGTCAAAGGGCTAAAATGTACAAACCTCCTTCATATGCGACGGGAGGGGTGCGTACTATCGAAGCCAAAGACTTTGGTGACCACGTTACAGCAGACCACATCGTGCTCTATCGGGACAAGGACACCATCATAGAGGACTCCCGGCTGGCGCTGGTGATTAAGGACGTTGCAACAGGCTTTTGCTATGCCTACCCCTCAGCTCTCAAGTCAGCTGAAGAATGCACTGTTGCACTTCAGCACTTCACATCTCCAAAGGACGAAGTGAAGAATTTCTACAGTGATCGCGCTCCTGAACTCAAGACTGCTGCTAAAACCATGAAGTGGCGTCATGAGAAGTCTAAGGCCTACTTGCATCAGTCAAATGCGATTGCCGAAAGGCAAGTCCGGTCTGTGACCGAAGGCACTCGAACCAACCTTCTGCAGGCTGGCGTCTCGCATGTATATTGGCCATATGCGTTGGAGCATTCGTGCACCGCATTCAATATCAGTCATGTGCATGAAATGAAGTACACACCCTGGTTCAAAAGATTCGGGGACAAGTTCCCGGGAGAGCTTATTCCGTTTGGGTGTAGAATCGATTACTGGGTTGGTCCCAAATCTACTCGCAAGAACCGAGAACGTTTCGCTCCTACCTCCGAACCTGGTGTTTTCCTTGGTTATAGGTTTCAACCTGGGATGAAGTGGCGCAAGGAAATCGTGGTGTTACCTTTGAAGGAACTCAACCGTAACGATTTTCATGAGTGCCTGAATCCCATCAGTGCCTACCAGTTCAAGGTTCCGGGGGGAGACTTCACGTTTCCTATGAAGGAGAGATACGAGCGCACTCAGGCTGGATTCTCGTCCGAGGCCGTTGAGGGCCCTGTGTCCCAATCTCTCGAAAACCAGGATGCCGAAGCACAGGATGAGCAAGTTGGCGATGATGCCGCTCCTCCTATCGCTGACCTGGCGGTCAAGCCCCCTGAAGTCATTGATCCCAAAACGGGCAAGATTGTTCCTTTACCGGAAGGTGGAAGGTTCTATGATTCAAGTGGCGTGATTGGCCGAAGATACGGGGGGACAAGGGGATCCAAGAAACCTGATTCCATACCTAGTTCTATCTGGGTTAACTTGTCCAAGAGACAGAAAGAGAAAGCCATTGATGATGAAGCACGAAAGATTGCTCTTGCAGAGCTTGACGAAGAAGTTGGTGGCTCAGCAAGCAGTAGTGCTAAGCCTTCTGCCGCCGCATTGCCTGATAAAGACTGTTGGAAGATAGAGGGGAACAAACTCACTAGGTTCCATTTTGTTCCTAGAAGAGAGCTCTTCTCACCTGATCTCACCGATTGCCCTGTTGACCTTAAGCAAATTAGCAAGGTCCGCAATTCGGTTATCTTCCCAGTCGGTGGAGTTGATATCGTCAACGATCAGGACGATTGGCGCAACGTTCGGAGGCGTAATAAGAAGACATCGTTCAAGTGGATCGGTAAAACCGAGTTTACTATCACCCCACAAGTTCCTGCCTCTGGCGAGGTCAGCGGGTCACGCCCCGAGTTTCCCGCGATGCCAGTATCGCTCGACGGAAGTCCTGAGCACAGAGAAAAGAGTTTGCCTAACTGCCCCACGTCGCTCGAAGAGATCAATGAGCTTATGGCTATGGTTGCCAGACCGGTGGGCAGAAAGGAGATCCTTAGCAATCCCAAGGCCCAAGCTGCGTTAGATGTTGAGTGGAACAAGCTCATGCAGAAGAAGGCTTGGGACATGGCTTCTGTTCGGGAATGGGAAGAGGTTTCTAAAGAAGCTAAGAAAAAGGGTAAGAAGGCCCATGTGGGGAAGGTGTTCGAAATATGCGTGGAAAAGGGAAGTGAATTGCCTGCTAATGATCCTTTGAGGAAGTTCAAGGGAAGGACGGTTTTACAGGGTAATAATGTGCGCGATGAAAACTCCGACTCCGCACTGTTCTCTGAATTGGGGTCCAGCCCCGCAACCATGGAAGCAGGAAAGGCCCTTGATGCCTATGGTCACGCTCCTGGAAATGAGTGTCAACAGGCCGATGGGAAACAGGCCTACACCCAAACCACTTTGAAGGGTGCTGACACTTGGGTTCGTCTTCCTAGAGATAGATGGCCTAAGGAGTGGATTGGTAAATACAAGGATCCTGTTGTCCGCCTTCACCTTGCGCTGTATGGCCACCCTGATAGTGGAGGCTTCTGGGAACAGCATTGCGAGCGCATGCTGAAGCAGGTAGGGTTCCAGCTGGTGTTTTCAGCTGCATGGCCCTCAGTGTTCTTTCATCCTAAGTTAAAGCTGCTTCTCGCCGTTTATGTTGATGATTTCAAGATGGCGGGTCCTAAAGAGAACATGACCCGTGGATGGGAACTTATCGGATCTAAGATTGATATGGATACGCCTACCCCGGTCGGAAGATATCTGGGTTGTGATCACATCACCAACACTTCCACCCTCAGGAAGGCCGACCATCCTTTCGCTCACGTCTTTGACAAGACCGTTCCCGATCCGGCGGCGAAGCCTGCTAGTGTTGCAGCTAAAGAAGACTACACTGAATCGTTTCCCGAAGAAGGTGTAATGGTTCGACATCATGGTCAGCCTCGCAAAGCTCTTTATCAACCCCGCGAAGCGGAAGCTTCAGCTTATGGGCTGGGGCATCACAGGTGTACCCATCTCACTGATGTTGGGAAACCCGATGTCGTTCACGAATTGTGGGATGATAATGGTAACCGCGCAAAGCGGGGGGAGCTGTGGACAGGTACCACTTATATTTGTTCTGGTTCCCATGATCGCGCCAGTGCTATGGCCGCTGTGCAACGCGTCAGGGATAAGAATGAAGCCAAGAAGGAAGCTAAGAAACAAGCTTTCTATGATATCAACCAATTGGGTGACAATCAAGGTTGCATGTACAAGAAAGTTCGTGAGGTCATATATGACATGTCGTCCTTTCTGCAACAAGCCATAGACAAGTACAAGCAACTTGCTGGTCCTGAGTACCACAATCTCAAGAAGGTCAGCACACCCTTTTATGATGATAAAATCGCTCGCCCAGTGGAAACTGAGGCCGAAGCAAAAGGCAAGCTGGCTCCCATCGCCAGTCGAGTCCTCATGAAGTTGCTCTTTGCAGCAAGAATGGCCAGATACGATCTGCTTCGAGCCGTTCAGGGGTTGGCTAGTAGGGTCACCAAGTGGTCTTCCGACTGTGATAAGGCTTTGCATAGGCTTATGTGCTACGTGAACAGCACCAAGCACTATACCATGAAGTGTTTTATAGGAGATAAGCCTTCTGAATGCAAGCTTTGGTTGTTCGCTGACAGCGACCATGCTGGTGAGCACGACAACAAATCTACGTCCGGAGGAATCCTGGTACTTGTTGGTCCCAACACCTACTACCCTCTTGCCGCTTTTAGCAAGAAACAAACGAGCACTGCACTCAGTTCCACTGAAGCAGAGGTTGTGTGTGCTAACGTTGCATTGAGAGCCTTAGGCCTTCCTTCATCCGCACTTTGGAGTGTGCTCCTGAACGCGGGGGGGGATACTGCAACGAAATCGCCCACTCCTCTGACGAGAGAGTCCAAACCATTTGTTCCTAAAACCACTCCCTTGCCCGAGTTTGGAAAGATCACTTTCACCGGCCTTCAAGAGCTTGACGATGGGCGTGTGCTGGATGTGTACAATAAGATTAAGGTGATTCCACCACCCGATAATCTCACTTCGCACCCCATTCGTAATGTTTGGCTCCTTGAGAAAGGTAAGTGGTTTGCGTACCAATCAGATGTGGCTTGGGAAGAAAGGGACATGCTTGATGAGATCCTTGAAAAGGAATATGAAGCCGGCATCTGCGTATATCGTAGATCAGTCCGGGACTATCGCCGCCATGCGGAAGCAGAGGCATACCTGCATCGTGAGATCGATGGCATCAGGAACACGGGGGGTGACTATGACAATGCACCTACCAGGAATGATACCGATATAGGGTTGATCGTGTCGGTCCCTCACTCTGTTCAGCCTGTCGTTCTTGAAGATAACCAGGCCACGATTCGCATTCTTGAGTCAGGTAAGTCTCCCGCATTCCGGCATGCTGATAAGACCCAACGCCTCAATCTAGGCTGGATCTCAGAGCAGTTCAAACGAAAGCATTATGAACTTGCTTATATCAACACCTTGCTCCAAGCTGCGGATGTCCTAACAAAACCATTCACTAGTGCTGAGAAGTGGAATAGAGCACTACAATTGATGTGTGTGGCACCGCACAAGCTGCCTGCAAGGAAATCGGCAGCGGCCACCAGCGATTCGATCGCCCGGCAGACGCCGAGGCCCGAAGCCGCATACAAAAGGATTGTGTTCGTTGTGGATTGTTCGCAGGGAACTCATTCTGCTTGTGACGTTGATATAAGGTATAGCCCCGATACAAAGGTGGTTAAGATTAGAAATTCTAGTGAGCTTGATCCTCCTGAGACTAGGAAGGCAATCATCCAGTTAGCCAGGGATTACCACAAGGCTGGCGCCTCTGTACTTCTTTGGTTCCATCAACGGAATCCGGGGGGTACAGACAAGGATCAGGACGAGCTCAATAGCATCATGTTCTCCAAGACTTGGGCTTCGTTTGTTGACATCGCCGATGCTCTTAAGAAGTACAAAGCGAGGTTCATCATTACGTGGCCCAGGGACAGCGTGTTCTGGGGATGGCAGCTTGTCAAGAGGGTACTTGATGGCTATGGTTTTAGCAAAACTCACCTTAAGCCGATGGTTGAAGCTGCTGACTTTAAGCCTGAAGTCATTGCCCACTACACGCTAGCCTCCAACACGAAGCGTCTTGTTGAATTCTTGAGACGAGGATTGAAGGATAGTGCCAAGAAATCAGAGTCCCAACACTACTTCAAAGGCACCCTTACTGCGATCCTTGGTCGTGTTTTTGAAGATCATGAAGTCCAAAAATCAGAGAGAAATCAGACTCACGTTGTAGCTGTTGCGCTCAAGATTCAAGCATCCCCAACGTCCTCTCTTTCGCTCCTTCCCATTGCGAACATGTCCTCTGCCCAGAGCACCCGTGACGCTCTTGCACAGGGAACCGCAGCCCGGGAGGGTGTGCAGACTGCTGAGGAGTTGCAGTATGCAACGGCTGATCGTGAGGAACGCATTCAGGCGTATCGTGCCGCACTCAAAAGTGCCGACCGCCTGGCTGACGCCATGGCCGGAATCACCCACCTTGCTCGGCATGCTGACCTTGCTGAGGTGTTTGATGAACCCGGGGCTGACGCCGACGGTGATGAAATGTTCCTTGGAATCATGACGGTGAAGGAATGGCGCGACATGCGTGTGCATGCGCCGAATGCGCCCTGGACTGCATTGTACGAAGCCTGGTTCCGTCATTATGCTTGCCGCCAGGGCAACCCGTACATGCAGGACCAACGCAACACCTCCCTGACGGGATGGTCAGCCCTCATCCTTCAGCACATTAAGGATTTGGGTATCCTCGGATGGGGTGTTAACTTCGAGAATGCCATCAATAAGACGGCAATGTATGACATTTGCCATAGGGTCCACATTCTGTCAGAGGGTAGCGGTACCTTCCCACTGTTCCCTGCGAGCTCAGCTCTCTTGGACGGGCTCTACAGCCCAGCCTTGGGCAGGATTTCCGCGCCCCCCACGGCGGAAGCCGGTGGTTTCGACGGCACCGACATTCTTGTGGCCGGGGACTCATCCTTGGCATTGTGCTGGATGCAAGGAAAACGGTGTGTGAAGAAAACCACTATCTTCCCGATGATGCAGGACATAGTCCGCGCGAACCCAGAGTTCGGGGAAGTCACATGCCTGATGGAGTGGGGCAAAGGTCTCGACAGGATCGTTGATGTGATCGAGACTCACCTTGCCTCCGCTCCCCCGGAAGGGGTAGAGCTTGTGGTTTCCTGGGCCGGCAACGATGTGTATGGTAACTACGGTTACCTTGGCTACACTTGGCACCTGACGAGCCAGTGGGTCAAGAGGCCGCAGAGTGAGCTGGACGAGATTGAACATTGGCCCGCAAAGCAGCGGCTGATGGTCGAGAAGAGCGTCCGCCGTCTCATCGAGCTGCGGAAGCACACTCGTGTCAGAGGCCTGACGGTTCTCTTGGGAGATGACAACGGTCGTTTTTACAACCTGCCCAGCGAGTATGATGAAGAAATGGGTAAGTATGCCCGGCAGTTGCTGAGTGCAGGCATCAGCGTCGTTGATCCATCAAGTCTCCTGATGAGGACTACGCGTCCTGATGGGTTCCACATCGAGGTCACTGACCCGAATGTGACTGCATCCTTGCAGTGGTGGCATGCTCTCATCAGAGCCGTGTCCACCGACCGAATCATCACTCGCCGGAAGGCTGAGTTCGTCGCCAATCAGAGAAGTATTGTGTTCCGCAATCACTTCGAGCTTGGGAAGGCCGAAAAGACGCTCACGGTGCCGCCTGCTAGCCAGCGCATCCTTGAGCCATTGGACCACGCACCCATGCTTCCGGCGGAAGCCAGGGAAGAGGATGAGCAGATCGTTCTCGACCACCCTCTTCTGATGATGATGCCTGAGCCGGTCGATGATGTCGATCTCAAGCCGGAAGGCTCTGAAGAGGTGACCCAGGTTGAACACGTTCTATTCAGCCGTGATGTTGGGTCAGAGCTGCCCCTCGACCTTGTCGCCATCGATCCTGAGGCGCAAGAGGACTTTGCCTTTACGGTGGCACGTGATGTCATCAACACCACGAATGTGCTTATCCCTGACGGAGACGCCGTCGAGAAGGAGGCCGCTGACGGCATCCCCACGGTGTGGGACGAACCCCCTGAGGTTCCGGCATTGGAAGATGACCGCAGACTCCCGAAAGGCACAGTCAGGTATTCGCAGTCTCTTCGCAAAGTCGGGTCGACGCCCAAGTCGAAACCCGATCCTGCCAAGCACAGGAGAATCTCGGAGACAGTCGATACCGGCGACGAAGAGGATGTCGTTATGGACCTGGATCCTGATGATCAATCAAACAAGGTCTTGGTGTATTCCACACGAACCGGTACGTGGCAAAAATCCAGTTAACGTATCAGTGTGTCAATGTGCAAGACTTGCAGTACGGTGAGGTTTGTAAACTGGTTGGTTGGACTCGTGGCGCGGTGATGGTGCTGCTAGTGACGGGGGGAGCAGTGTGCAGGGCGGCGTTGGCTTTGCTTTTGGGAGAGGGGGGGGGGAGGGGGGGGGTAAGTCTTTGAACATGTACAAAACACTCCCCCCCCCCTCCCCCCCCCCCTCCCCCTAGACCGGTGTTTATAAACACATACATATCTACATCTCTGGTAGGCTAGCTGTTTCTAAACATATACAACATCAGTTCTGAAGAGGAGGCACATGATTGTGACGACACGACATGTTTATAAACAAACCCGGTGTTTATAAACAGACCTCGTGTTGCACAACTTGCACAACAACTCATAATTGATGTATAAACCATCCAAAGCAACAACATACACGTACATAAAATATATTTTCTTTTTTATGCTTGTTGTTGCGCTCCTTTTTGTTCCTGCGAGTCGACGTCCTGTTGAGTCCCGGCACGGACGTTGCCTGCGCTCTGAGGCCGCAAAGGCAAGCGGCTCCGTCCCTCGGGGGCAGCGTGGTGGAGGATCCCGTCGAGCGGTGGGCCTGCTCCGGCCTCCTGTTGCAGCGGCTGTAACCAGCCGCTGCCCAAAGCTGTGCCAACGACTGCCTATTGCACAGCGACGGAAAGCATAATTACTCCACCAACGCCGCGCCCACGCCACGGTGGCTGCCGCGCGGATGGCCGGCGGGGCGCGGTAGGCTTTAAGGCGCACAAGATTGGATCCCGCACGAAGCGACGAGCCTGGGCGTTCCAGCGGACGCCGACCTCCGAGCCGAGCACGAGCGCGACGAGCGTCTATGGCCCGCCCCGCGTGAGCTCAGGGTATGCGGCGTGCCGCTCAGCTACTCACAGTGCGGGTCCGTCGACAGCCGCGGCAACACGGCTGCGGGTGCCCCGAACGCGAGAGTGGGGACACCAGCGTGGAGTCGCAGCACTGCGCGCTCCCGTTGCTGAGTGCCCCATACACGACGAGGTCGAGCTGGCGACGGTCCTGCACGCCAACATTCGGGGCAGCGGTGTGGGCCAACTATTGCTGTGGGACGACTTGGCCTTCCGACCCCACCACTTCCCGGGCAAGCCGCACCCAAGCTCGCTCGACGAGCTTGGCCCGCCGGGCGAGGAGTCGTGTGCGCAGGCACACGAGTGCGTGATCGCCGAAGCGGTCTAATGTCCCTCGCAGCCACGGGGTGGCCCGCAGGAGCTGCTATGCAGCGGCAGACGCTGTCGCAGGCGGCGCCTCAATGCGATCTGCATAGCGTGTGGTGGGAGATGATGGGAGCGTTGTGGCCGGCTCTGTCCGGATTGCCGCGAGCCAAGCACCCGCCTGCGGTCCAGTTTGGGATCGCAAGAGCACCTCAAAATTGGGCGGCATGTCAGGCAGCAGCACGCTATCGGAAGTGAGTGTTGAGAGTTCGCGTCGCTTGCATCCGCCAGCCATGCAGCCAGTCCCCTGGCCCGGCATCGTCCGCTGGAGGTGGGCGCGCTTTCCAAGAGGGCGCGACACGGTTCGCCAACCCGCCTCTCGCAGAAGGTCCCGCGCCTCCAGCGCCTCGCGCAGACAAGGGACACCACCGCCTGCGCTGGCGTCTAGGGCCTCCAAGCGGCACCGTGCGACGTCGGGCATTCGAGCGCGCATCACCGGTAGTGCGTCCGCCCATGCGGCCCAGTAGGCAGCCGGGGCCGTGCGCTCCGCGGACTGCAGGCCAAGGCCACGGCCCGACACGCCCCTGTCGCTAGGGAGGGCCGGCCGTAGAAGAGCCACACAAAGGGGAGGAGTTCTGGCACGACCTCGTGCAGCTTGCTGAGGAAAGCTACGCGGGATATAGAGTATTAAGCGCTGCGGCCATCCAGCGACACGAGGACCGCGTCTCGGTCCCCGGGAGGCAGACCTGCTTCGCCATTGTGCAACAGCTTCCCCCGCCCCGCAGAGATGTGTTGCTCGCACGTCCTGTCATTTTCGCCCTGTGACAATCGCGGTACAAACATGGGCGGTCCGACACAACCTCGAAAAAAATCAAAACCTGATTCACACGCTTGTCCTGAAATCCGGATATGGGTTCTTATTCATTCCGACACGACGCCTCTTGCTGATGCTGTTCAATATAAATATACGAAATGTAAAGTCGGTGTTACCTCGGGATAAGTTTTTTTTTCACGCACCTTTTTACGGCAGCACGTACGAGACGTCCCGGTGTGAGCTGCGTGCTACGACTACCTCTACCGGCAGGGCCCAACGCAGTCGGCTTGAGGCCGTCAGCGCGCCTCAGCGAGGAGCTCGTGCAGCTCTGGCTCGGGCCCGCCTCCCAGGTCACCGGCGGGAGGCAACTCAAGGAGAGAGGCGGCCAGGGCGCGCTGCGCGGCGGCTGCGAGGAGGCCAGACCAACGCGCGACCCAGGCAGTGATCGCGGTGGGTCGCAGCATGGTGGGGACGGCGGCGGCCCGGTGCCGCGCCAAGAGGCGCAGGAATTGCACAACTTCGGTGCAAAACTTCCCGCCAACCTCAGTACCAATGACGACGAGGCGGCATCTCCGGGCTCTGCCGAGTTCAGGGTGCGTGTGTGGCGCTTGCGCCGGGCTGCGGCTTGGACAGCGCAGCCCGGCTGCGTGTCTGCACGGGGGTGAGCTTCGCCCTGCCGCGTTAGGGGGAACAGTATCATGGCATCAAGGGCAAGCTGGGACCCGTGCCGCAGCGGCAGGCCGTTGGCGACGACTTCGATGCGCCGCTCATCGGCGATGGGCGCATCGAGATTCATGTCGGCGAGTCGGACGTTGTGCGCGACTCTCGCACCTGCTTCTCGGCAAACACGGGCCACGGCATGCTTTAGGGGCAGTGCGCGTGTTGACAGGACTCCGGATATGGCGCAGGCAGTGCGGTGATCACCTTGGGGGTCAACAGGGCGCTTGAGATGGTGACGTCGCTGTGCGTGGGCGGGACGTTGATGGCTCTGGCGGCAAAGGGCTCTGCTTGCGAAAGCAGCAGCGCACGGGACGCAGGGGAGGGTTGAAAAAGGTGCGTCTCGAACGCGCGCTCATCGCAGGCTCGGGCAGCAAGCTGCTGCCAGCCTTTAAACGCCGAGGGCCCGGAGTCCTCGCCGGGCCGACGCGTGTTGTTAGGGGGCGGACCAGCGCCGTGGGTATCCCAGTCCGGTGCATCGTAGCCGGCCTGTCGCAAGTGTGTTAGCGCAGCAACTGCGGCGGCAGCGGAGGGGGGGGCGGCGTCGCCTCGCAGGGCTTGGAGGAGTCTTGCGGCAGCTGCCGGCGCCCGTGCAGTGATGACAGGAAGCGTGTCTTGCCAGGATGCCCAGTGTGCGGCACTGCTGTCATCACGGGCGGAGCGGAGCACGAGTCCTCCAAACCGCTGTGCTAGCTGGGCGGCGCGCAGGCTAGTAGCTGAGAAGGGTGTTTCCCCTTGCTCGAGCAGCCCGGCCAGGCAGCGGGCTACGGCAGCGTCATTTGCAGCGGCATAGCAAAATGCGCAGCAGGTAGTTCGCGCGCGGGGCCGCGCAGCTTTGGAGGAGGAGCTAAGCGGCTTGGAGATCGTCAAGCAGCGGAATGCGGTCCAGAAGCCGACCTTGGTCCTGGCGTTTGCGTTGCAGCTGGCGCGCGACGAATTCGTCGTGGCCGAGCGGAGAACCCAGCACGTTGAGGCCCTGGCAGCCAGGGAGGAGGCTCCAGTTGCCAACCCAGACAGGTTCACTCCCCCCGGCTGCGAGGTCAGCTGTGCTTGGCGGTTCTTCACCTGCGGCATTCCAAATTCGAGTTTTGCCCTCATGGAGGCGGATCCGCGCCCGGTTCCAGAGGGTTGTCGTAAAGGGAGCGAATGTGCTCAGGCAGCGCAACGATGTAAACATCGTCGAGGAAGGCGAAAACTGCTTCCCCATGGAGGAGCTGGCCTTGCAGGTCGTTGAGGGTCTCGTGTTGAGCTAATGCATAGAGGGCAGGCATTATCGTTCGTGCAAACGGGCCGTGTGTGTGTATGTATGTGTGTGTGTGTGTTGCGTGCAAGGCGCAATATCGCCGACGTTGTTTTTGGGAGGGCATCTCTGGCAAATGCCGGGCAGGGTGGTAGTCTGTTAGACGTCGGCGTAGGCAGCGATGGCCCTACCCGACACGCTGAATGCCCATCGGATCATCAAGGTCGCGCTCCACCAACCTTTAGCGCTGGAACTGCCGCATTCCGACACAGACCAGCATGTTCGAGCTCGACGTGGACGGTTAAAGCCCCTCTTTGCGACTGCAGACAAGCGTCCCTCGACAAGAGGTGTTGCATGCCGTCCCCTCCCGGTTGCGATGGGCGCTCTGCACACCACTCCGGTCTGGCGTGTGATCTCCGAGCACACATTGCCACAAAACGAGCTCCACTGGAATCGTTGCTCTTATGCCCCATGGATGAGTCCCCATCGAGCCGAAGAGGCAGCACGGGAAAAACACAAAAAATAAAATAATTCTTTTTTAATATGAATCTGTGCACAACTTCAAACATGATGAACAAGTTGCCATCCGTCGCCACGCGCCTCGCTTGCGTGGGAAGAGCTGCAGCCTGAGTAGCGTCGAACACCATCGAACACCTAGGGCACGCAACCGGCAGCTGGGCCAAGAAGCATTCCAGCAAGCGGCCAACGATGCTGGAGACGTCGGGCGGATTCAGGAACGGCGTCCATCCAGGACCGAGGCCTAGTAAGCCGCATATCGGTCGCTGCACGCGGCCGGGTAACCGAGCCCGCGTCGCAATGTAATCTCCGGCGGCAGCGGGGCATGCCATGGCTGCATCCCTGCGGTCGAGCTCAGCGCGTGGGCGGGCACCGGCAGGCCTCGCAAGCTCGCGCAGTCTATAGGGTTCAGGGTTTAGGACGGTTTAGGAGGGTTCGGCCGCACGCAAGGCTCCCCGAACAGCCAGCACGAGGTCGCCCAGTGAGCAGCAGCATCGAACAGCAAGTCGAAAGCAGCACAGAAAGCCGAAGGAAGCAGGCTTAGATTTGCCTGGACCAAGAGCGCAGGCGTGTCGCGCCAAACGTCGGCAGCAAGGCAGTTGCGCCGTGGAAGACCGCAAAAAGCACGGTCGAACATCGAAACTACCACAGCCGTGCGACGGCGTTGGCCAGTGGAAGCGGCAAACAGAACGGCACCCCAGGCGTTTCGAAAACTCAATAGGCTTGGCCATGCATGTCATGCCAGACGTCCGCAGCCTTGCTGGATTATGTACCCCTGGATATTTGCATGATATGCCGTGCTTCGCTGCTGCTTGGACGACTTGTATCTGCGGTTCATCGTTACGACGCTATCATAAAATCCTTTGATACCTATGTTGTCACCATGTGTGTGTCCGATATCAATCCCTGAAGTTGTACATGTGTAAAGTCGGATGGCATGCCACAGCGAAGCGAGATGTGCGATCGCAAGATTCGCGGTTAGAGTATGTCGGGATGCTTTGTTCTTTAAAGGGTTAGCATGAGCTCGTTCGACAAAGGCCAAGCAACATGTCTCAGTAAGATGCTTGCATCGGATTCCGTCGCTCTTTTGTGAACATGGCTGCCGCAGTCTTTGGCTTGCAAGATCTTGCGAGGTCGTTTGTCGTGTTGTGAAGCAGCTGCACTTTCCCGTGTGACTATGGCACGCACTTCGGTGATGGCGGCAGCGGCCATGCTCTTTGCACCATTCTGCTTCGTTGCGCCTGGTCCTTTTCAAGCGGCTCCTGTTGTGCGGCAGGCAAGATCCAGCGGCAGGGGGCACCAGCAAACGCCCGCGATGTCGGCAGCCTTGTGTTTGAGCGCAGCCATGGGAGCAGCATTCCTGAGAAAGGACATGGGCAAGGCCACCCAGGCTTTGAAGACAACACGACGCTACACGACCCAGACCATCGTCCCGAGTTTGCAGTGGCTCAAGACTGGACTTCGAGGCAACGACTTGCAACCTGGCGAACTGAGGGCTTACGGAATTGCCGGATGCGATGTGTGCGTTGGTAAGACGCAAGACGGAAAGCTCTTCGCTGTTGGAGACAAGGCCCCTCCTACCGGCACATCCTTGAGTGTGGGTGCTGAGGTTCAGGGCAGTAAGATCTTGGATGGACAGTTCGGAAACGTCTTTGATTGCTTCACTGGCCAGCCGGAGGGGGATTGGTGCCCTTCGCCGCCGGGCATCGGCAAGTTCGTCGCCTGGTTCATCGGACGGAAGGAGGCACTTCCAACGTTCGAGATTCGCGAGGCCTTCCTCTCCGGTGACATCGAGGTCATGGTCGACACCAATGCGAAGGCTGCTTACGAAAGCTGGTACTGGAAGGGTCTCCTGGATGCCCAGGGCAAGGATGATGGAACTTACTACTAGTAGGCTATAAATCACTACACTACACTAGCTTGTACAGTGTGCGCCATGCAGCATATAGGCCCCGGCGCACGGCGGTGCGCTTCAAGTATTGAAGGCAGCGGACCACAGCGCTGCCAGAAACGTGTGTGATTTGTGCTCGATTTGTTAAGTGCCAAGTCAGATTTTGATGAATTTTGACTCGCCGCTCGCCATCCCTGAAGTTGTAAATGTGTAGAGTCGGATGGCATGCCACAGCGAAGCGAGATGTGCGATCACAAGATTCGCGGTTAGAGTATGTCGGGATGCTTTGTTCCTTAAAGGTTTAGCATGCGCTCGTTCGACAAAGGCCAAGCAACATGTCTCAGTAAGATGCTTGCTTCGGATTCCGCCGCTCTTTTGTGAACATGGCTGCCGCAGTCTTTGGCTTGCAAGATCTTGCGAGGTCGTTTGTCGTGTTGTGAAGCATCTGCACCTTCCCGTGTGACGATGGCACGCACTTCGGTGATGGCGGCAGTTCGGCCTTCCAAAGCTAACAATTTCCCAGATACAGCGAAGCGAAACAGTCTTCTTGTGGCATCTGGCAACACCAAACGTATTTCGGAACGCAAGAACACAATACATCTTCCATGGTTACAGGCGGATCGAGCAGCTTACGCTGGTGTTGCGGTGTGACAGTGTGTGGCATGTCACGTCGCCCATATGAGCCATGGCTTCGCGCATCATCGTGAAGAATTTGCCGAAACATGCCTCAGATGCACGTTTGCGGGAATTCTTCGCTGCAGTTGGCGAGATCACAGATTGCCGGATCCAGCATCTTGATCGAATTCGGCACGCATTGGTTCAAATGTCGCGGAATGTTGCCCATGCTGCGTCAGCAGAACATGATCAGGGCTTTGGCCGTTTTTGAAGGCAAACGTGGGAAGAACAGACGTTACAAACCATGTGGAGAGCATTGGATAAACCTTGTCGGTGGCAGTACGGCAGCATTCGCAGGAAGTTGAAGGATGGTCGTTCGCGACAATTTGCCTTTCTGGGCTTTCGGCGCCTTGTCTACAAGATGATGGATTGTTTGAGTGGGTGGGGATGATGTGCAGGCTTGTGAGCTCATTTGCTCAATTGCTGTCGCATGGTGCCGCAGTCGGCTTGGAAGACTTGAAGCCAAAACACGGTGACAGCTGCCCAGCACAGGTATCCCATAGGCAAATCCCAGTTGCAAGGTTAAGAGGTTAGATGAGGTTAGTTTGCTGCCGAAAATGCCAGCACAAGGACCGAAAGCGATGCTCAAGCCGCTGTGAAGCAGTTAAATCGCAGCTTCTTCGATACTTCGAAGATCAGCTCCTTGGTTCGAAATGAGCTTTCTTGGTCGTTGAGTGCGAGTGGCCAGCTATAACCAGTACCGCCGGCAGGGTTTTTTTTTCATAGTTCGCACTCCGAAAAGACCCAGTTTCTATACTATCACATGTGCTGCGAGGTGTTGAAATCGCTTATGCACCGGGCTCTGGGGACATTGCTCGGCCATGGAGCAAGTGACCAGACCGAGATGGACCTTACTGCCTTAGGTCATCATTTGGCATGATGTTTATCTACCGTTCCGAGGTGTGAAATGCCGAGGTTCCTAAGTCGATGTTGAAGATCGAGATGCAAGCGAAGCCAGCAGAGCTCTCGCTAACCCTATAGCGGTTTCTTAGACTCTGAGTCACTTGACGCATTAGGGTTCAGGATTTTGGCTGTCGAATCTGCAGGTCTCTGAAACTATCACACTTCTTGTCGCTATGATTGGAAGCCGCGGTGCAGATCATGCCAGGTATGCTGCAGGCTCTTCCGCGCATGAGCGGCGAGCCGAAAGGAAAGCTAACAAGAAAGATTCCAAGCCAGGCCACTGTTGCAGGGATGCAATGACGGGGTTGGGGTTGTGTGGGTTTGGTATTGCAGCTACTGCAGGGGTTGCACGCCGTCTTCGAAGATGGAACGCTAGACAATTCCATGGTTCGGACATGAGATAGTTTGGTTTTGGGGTTGGATCGTGGCTGCTTGTGCTGCTTCATGGCCACCGGTGGATCATCGGTGGTGCTTTGCAGGAGAGCGGCCGGAAGAGTCTGGGGTTTCTCGGCCAGTGTCAGGTCTGCTCTGTTTTCGTGACGGCAAGCTTAAGCTACCAGAAGATGAATGAGGCCGAAAAGGCTGACAACAACAAGCCTAATAAGCTGGGTGGCCGCCGCTTGGCACAGAAACAGGTGTTTTTGGTGCAAGGAGGGCTTTAGGGTTTGTATGCGGGGCATGCAGGTAGACTGCGCGGGATATGGACCCAGGCAACAAGCAGAAAGTGGCTGTGAACATCAAGGGTGCAAAAGTTGTCCGCACGGCCAACATCAAGACAACGAAAGCAGGAGTGAGCAACACGCGAATGTGACTCGATAAAAAAGACTGTTTGGCGTGGCTGTGGCAGTATAGCTTATAGCCAGAGCGATTTGAATTTGGTTTGCAGATGAGGCATATGGAATTCGAGAGCGATAGCGACTTGAATGCAGTTTGGTACATACATGTTTCGATCCAGCGCTATATAGGCTATATGACATGGAAGCACCCGGCTGAACGGCATGAGGGCGAGAGATTATTCACAAGAAACAAAGGAAACGCTTGTCTGGTATGTGTAATGCCGCAAGCTTGAACGGAAACGCTTGCGTACTTAGACATGTATGGGACATGCCAGGCAGCTTGGCACATGCTTGCATGCATGTCTTAAAGATGCCTTTTGCAGCCGCGAGTTTGAACCTTTCGAGTGCTTGTGTGTGCACATGCATGAAACAGATGCTTTCCTGTGTAGATTGCTTCCTCTTTGTGTGCATGCATTGGCTTTCATTACAAATGCATAGCTCCCGGAAGCTATCGGCATGTATGCGTGTGTACATGTTTTCATCTCACCACAAACGTTGCGCATAGACGTCGGCATAGACAGGCGTGAACATGGACATAGACAGAGACATGCACGTGGACGGTACACGGGCATGGACAGGGGCATCGACATGGACATTGATATTGACATATTATATGTAGATGTGTATTGTATATGTGTATGTGCATTTATGTTTCCATTGACGGTGAATATATATATATATATGTATATATATATATATATATATATGCCTATATACATGTATATGGATGTATGTTGTTGTGTAGACAAACATGCACACAATTATCACATCTACATCACGCCTGCCTTTACAGATGCAGGCAGCTATACTTTTGCATATGCATATTTTCATTCACAGGTTATATCATCATTTACACGGAAGTATACAAAAAGTATTGACTTGTACATGTACAGGTACCTATTTACAGACATACGCTTACACGCACATGTGCAGTGCATCGGCAGAGACATAGGCATCGACATACGCACATGCATTTACAAACGCATGTACATACACACCGCAGTCACATGCACACATACTTGGACATGAACGTATGCACAGATCGACATCTACATATACATATGCATGAGCATACATGTAACAATTGGATAACTGTGCTTCTCCAGTCTTTGCGCGGTTGCTCGCGGACATTGCTGCGAGCATATGTATCTCTCCACATTGACATGGACGTCGAACTATGGCAGGTGGTGAAGAAGGTGCATCTACAGCAACAGCTCCGAAAGAAGGTCCTTCACAATCCTTGGCCTTTGACGAGGAGTTGGACGACATGGCATATCTCAAGGTCCCTCAGGGTTCAGGGCTGCTACTCGGATTTACTCTGCAAAGGTGGTGTCTTAGAATGAGGCGTTGGATCGCACTCCCGTGCCCATTTAAAGCGCCCTTGTCATAACTGCCATATGAGGCGTGATACCGAGAGGTTTGAAGAGCTCCCAGACGTATCCTTAAATATTGAATCTTGGCCTAGCAATGTCCAGGCTAAGTCCAACTCCACAGCAGGAGGAGGCAACGAGGACCGGGATCTTAGAGATGGGAGGCAACCTTGCCCTTTACTTCGTTACCATAGGGCTGAGTCGGGTCATTGTCGGGTGCCGAGATCGCGCATTCATTGTGAAACGGGAAACAGGCCAACAGTATTGAATCCTGACTTAGTAGCTGAGTGGCTGAGTGGAGACACTTTACACTTTTTGGGATAATATTACCCACTATATAACTGGAGGTGTACACTTTTGGGGCCCTTGTTTTCAGCAAGTAAGCTGAATCAAGATACTGAGCGATCTCGCTCAGGGGTCAGCCCGAGCGCAAAAGCCTTGAGCTCTAAAGTCGAAGAGGTATTTCGTTCAGCCATGCAGTAAGCCCTCAACATTCCTCAACCCCACCCAGAGACTCCAGTATCCCTAAATAAGGAATACACCCTTAAAAAGCTTTAAGGGATATTGGAGTCTTTGGGTAAGCCCTAAACCCACAAATCGCGAAGTACACTGTACCAAGCGAGGGAAAAGCCCCAAACCCCCGGAAAGAAGGTCCACGCCGAAGGCCTCACAGGTTCAAGCCTAAACTCCAAGCCATGCTCAGGAGACCTCGAAAGATGCGTCTGAAGCTCCGATGGCAGTGCCAAAGAAGCGTGCCAAGGGCAAGAAACGTGTTGCCCTCAGATGTCATGTCGTGGTCTCTGAACTCCCTGTCCTTGTGCAAGAGCCTCCTTGGAAGATCTGGATCTTTGAAAGACCACCAGACGTCGTTTTGTCTTAGACAAGTCCAAGTCCAGTGAGAGCTCTCTTCTCTTGCATGCGGTCAATCCGAGGCCCAAAGCAGAAGACTTCGACCGCCGGCGCAGGTGGTTTGATTCTGCGATCTGTGCGCAGCTCTCAGCCGGGACATTGTTCGCACCCAGGCGAAGCGAAGGAAAACGAGATGGAGGAGACTGTGGCCATTGATGCAGTCGATGCTGCGGCTGCGGCGGATGCGGCTGCTGCGGCAGAGGCCGCCAAGGATTCCGCAGGCGGGCTGAACGATCTGGAGAACCCGACATTCGGCACCATTGAAGCCAAAGCCCTGTGCTTGCAATCGTTTGAACATCGAAAGAGCCTGATTGCTGCAACTACATGGGCACGTGTTGTACCGTGAGAAGAAGAACCACAAATCGAAAGGATTGTGTGCACGATTAGACACGGGTTTGCCCAGAGTTCCTTAGCTCCTTGTCAACTGGATTTAGCTACATCTTGTAGCTCTGTGTGGCTCACGCTACTGTTTTTGGTGGTAGGATGTGGCAGGGGTTCTTGATCCCCGCAGACTCACAACTGCAGCGCGTCTGGGAGCTCGGCCCCTGCGCAACCAATGGGTTTCAATAGTGGACTTTCCGCAGGAACAGTGCCAGATATGGAAGATCTCGAATCTACGGGGCGTGACTCGGATTTCTTTGCCGGGCAAGTGTAGCCACCGAGTCAATTCGACGCACCCTGAAGCGTGCTTTGTATTCCTGCACCTAGTCTCTTGCCCTGAACTCGAAGACGTTGGTCATGGCAGTTCAGGTTTCCACATGTTACGACGTCGTGGATTCAGGTGCCGACATGCCGGGGTTTGTTGGAGTTCGCAGCTGTGCCGGATGGATATGCTGGTATCAATAGTTGTTAAACAAAGCGTAGAATGTGAGCATCGCAACGCATACAGTGTGTGCAGTGGTTGTCGTCAGAGCATCCGAGGCTTGTACATAACCAACCTACCATATGGAGCCAGCGAAGAAGAGATACGTGTTCACTTCGAAACGCTGGGGGAGGTCCAGTCCGTCGTCGTTTGCAAGGAGCGGAAACGGATGAGGTATTGACGCAAGCACAATCCAGAAGCCGAGCTTCAACCGCTTGTGATGCACATTGTGCCATACGGGGTACCTTATTTTGGGGTCCTTATAATAAGGATCCTACCACTTAGGGTACTGTACTAAGCTCTCCTGTTTCCGGAAACTCCCATACCTGTGCAGTAGAACAAGGCATGCTTGCAGATCGGCTGGGCCTCCGAGGTGGCCACTTAGAGGGCACTATTATTATTAGTATTACTATTACTGACTGTCATTATTACTACTATTACTACTATCAGTATTGCTATTATTATTATTATTATCATTATTTATTATTATTATTATTTTATTATTATTATTTATTATTATTATTGTTACTGTTGTTACTATCATTATGGCTATTTTTGTTATTATTTTTGTATTCTTATTATAACTATTCTTATTTTTATTCTTACGACCATTACTTCTATGACTATTGCTATTACGATTACTATTACTATTGCTATTACTAGTACTCTTACTATTACAATTACGGTCTGCGCTGCGTTCCAGTTTGGAAAAGATGTACAGTGAAGTGTGTGTTGACGAGTGTGACTGGTTGCCAAGGCCCGAGCTTCCTACATTCAACCCTGCTTACCTATACCATTTTGGGGGTTCCTTTAAAGGGTTCCTTAAAGGCGTCTATAAGGGATTTATGATAGGGTTCTTTATGAGGGGCCCAAATAATTACTTATCTTGGGGGAACCTTATTATGATTAGAGTAGAACGGGCCCCACAACTTCTAATAAGATTGAATCTCGAATTTTGCACACCAGAGGCCGTTGCTGCCGCAACTGAGAGTTCAGGGTTCAGGCCCAGGCCCTTCGATTGTACAAGTCCTGATACAAACAGGCTCTTCACACTCCATGCGATAAACATGTTGCCCGACCGAAAGCGGCCAATGTATTCACTCCAAGCTCGGGTGCTTCGCAGGACGAGGACTCGTTGAAATCACGCGGCTTCGGCTACGTCACGTACGTGCGCCTTGGTGACCGTCAGAAGACACGCTCCTAACAGCGACGACAGCTGTTTCTGCTCCTGCTGCTGCCAGTGCTACTGCCGCTGCTGCTGCTCCTTCTCCCACCTGTCCCTGCTGCCGCCGCCCTGTTTCCCTCGTCTCAGGTTTCCAGAGTGTGCGGTGAGATGCTTGGCTGCATATCTCGAGCTTAACGAAGGCTGGCATGTCCGAGAGTGGGCGCCGACTAAACTATAATATATACATATATATACACACACACACAAAAATATGTGTATTTATATACATAAGTATATACATACACATGCTATATGACTAAGGAGCTCTCTCCGAGCTGGACTTGAAGTCCTTCCAGGGCCGGCTTCTTCGAGTGGCCGCTGCCCGGCAGAAGCCTGCGGAGGAGCTCGGAGGCTTCAGAAGGTTCTATAGGGGTTCTATGCCGTTCTATGATTTTTTTAGGAGGCTTCAGAAAGTTCGATAGGGGTTCTATGCAACTTTGTGTTTATGCACGTGTGGTGTGGATTGTGGGTTCGGGTTTGGACCGTTCTTCATCCAAGCACCGCTTGAGCCCCAAGTTTGAACCACCACTGGAAGAGTATGCAAGACCAAATGCATGTAGGGAGCATGGGGGATCCCTAAGCTCCTTTATGTCTTGTAGGGTTGGATCGTTTGTCATCGAGCGCTGCTGGGGCCCCGAGTTGCTGCCGAACTCGCAGGAGGCGGCGAAAGGCACCGATGCCGAGAAGGCGTTCCTGCGGGCTGCAGCATCCTTTCTAAGGGCCGTGACGTCCACATGTTACCCGGTTGCCAGGCAAGAGGTGGCACTTCCTCATACAAACGCCACTTGCCTCCATGGGATTCGTCTGGGGATTCTCCAGGATGTCAAGGGTTTGCGTGGGGGTGCGGGCCATGGCGTGAGCAGCCTTCAAAAGGCAGCGGTCTTGCCGTTGACTGCTTTTGCAGCAGACTCCGTCTGCTTCCCTTTCCTTAAGAAGTGCAGCAGGTTTCGCGGTCCGCTTTGCTTAGTTATTACAACGCAGTGCATTGATTTCCACATCTGCGACAAGTGCTTGCGTGCTGCTCGGCATGAGTCCAGGGTTGCTTTCCTTGATCTTCCAAGCAGAAGGCAGTGGACGCCACAGCCTGAAACTGCACGGCATGTTGGCCAATTGCTGAATTGTAAGTCTTGCTGTGTACGTGCTCGAATGTGAGCCTAACCCTCTGCCCGCCAGTGTTCAACAACCGAGAACTGAAAGCCCAGCCCAAGACCTCAAGACCTTCATCCCAAAACCAAACACTGCCCCCCCCTTCGCAGCTTAAACGCAAGGGAGTTAATAGTAGCCCCTAAGATAACCTTATAGAACTTATATATATATATATATAAATATAATATAGAGTAGCCCTTGAGGACAACCCTTACAGAACCCGGGGCATTTTGTGACAAGCCGAGGTCGACTGGATGAATCTGGGCCTTGATTTGTTTGTTCCTCCTGTGGTGATCTACGCTGTGACAAAGTCTTTCAGTTTTCAACGACTTCCTGGTATCAGTTTTCAACCTGCCTGAAGGTTTCCATAAGTTTGCTGCTAGTTATCAGCGCGGGAAACCTGTCGTTACTTACGAAAGGTTCGAACGGTTGAGAAACTCCGCGGTACGGCCTGGGCTGAGCTATCATGGTTGTAAAGCTCGCTCGGCAACCGCTGAGGAGAGGAAGAAGAAGGTGGATGCCCACCTCCAGCATACATGGAACTTGCTATACATCTCTGCCAACTCGGCAGCAGACGCCGCATCCGCACAGCTGGGTGTTTCCAAGAGCGACCTTTTCGGCAAAGATGCCGAGAACGCTGCCGTGCCACAGCAGCAAGGAGCAACTTCATCTTCTCCGATATTCCACTTTTCCTGTATTCTCATGAAAGCCAACACTACCTATTCCACTTTTCCTGTATTCGCATGAAAGCCAACACTACCATTTCCAGAAAATGTCAGTAGTCAATAGTAGAGTTTGTCTTCTTGTTGGTCACTCGTTCAATCTTGCCTCTGTTCGTCTTTTCTTCTTCAACCAGGGAGCCATGGGCCATGCCATGAGGCGGAGAAAATCTGAGGCAGCTTTCGTAGAGAGATGGTCGTTCCGCAGTGTGCGAGGTCACTGCTGCCTTGACGGAGACCTCCGTCATCCAGCAGACGCCACACAGCTTTGCAACTAAAGTCGGTTCAGGGTTATTTTTGTTTCGGCAAGGCTGCGGACCATTGCACCCAAGCCTTGAAGAAATGATAGTGCTAGCCTGAGCTTGGACCGAAACTGTATCCTGTGATCACCGCTGAGGAAACAATGGCTTCAGAGAGAAGGCATTCGTGTCGATGCTTTCGAGCAGCGGGGGACAGCTATGACCAACAGCAAGGCCGTCATGCCAGAGGGTGCTCAGCGACGCGAAGACACCCTCATCGCTGCTCTGCTACATGTCATTATCCCAAGTGCAAGAGGCGTTTTATCCCCAAAACCTAAAGTTCAATGCGAAGTTTTGTAGGGTCGACGAGCAACGGCCCAGGTGAAGCATTTGCCCGCTGCTACGAGCGCGGGGGAGCTTCGCGAAACTTTGCTACAGGATTAGGCAGGCTGTTCTTGGGATTTGAGAACATGGCGAGTTTTGACTGCAGAGCTCTACATCGTATGACCCTTCTTGTCAGAATCCTACATAAGGGGCCTGCCTTCAACTCCTCTTGGGAGTTCTGTGATTCTGAAGCGGCATGTACCAGTGCCCTAGTGTTCGAATCAGACTTCCTCTTCAGGCAGACCGTGGCATCATCGCTGGAATGACACTCAAGGCTACAGAGCCGAAATCGCAGACCTTAATCCTAAACCTGGCACGCAGGGTCATTTCGGAGTATCGGCTTGCAAGTCTTGTTTGTGCAAGCGCACGGCTGCTGGTGGTGGATCTTCGCATTTGCACAGCCTCTCTTGGACGGGTTTTTGCACATTAACTAGCACATTGATAGGTAAAAGACCCTCATGACTCCGAAATTTCAAAGTGCGCACGCCGAAACTCTGACATCCAATAACCGTAAACCCTCATGCCTCGCCTGGACTGTCCCAGTGTGAGCGTCGAAACCCTGTTGCAAAAGAAACCTTAAGCAGACCCCGCAATCTGAGGAGCGCTTCGCACGGTTCGGCACCTTGGTGCGCTGCTCGCTGGCGCCCTCGGGCACGGCGCGGCTCCAGGGAAGCTGGGAGGGACGCAACTTACTCGGGAAGGGGTTGTCAGTTCCAGTCCAGTGTTGAGGATTGCTTGCGCTGTGGTAGACGGTCCCGGTGCAGGTGGCAGTTGTGCAGTATGCGGACAAAGGACAGCATGCTCTCGCGTGTCGTGTGTTGCATTCTGGCGCAGTCCGAAGCTGTGTTAACGCATTCTCTGAGAGATGCTGCACGATTCCTGCTGAGCATGGGTTTTCCTGATCACAAGTAGGAGCCGCATCCCGGGCTTTCCAGAAGCTAGCCTTTTCACGCTTCCGCAGCTTGGCAGCACTGGAGGTGTTGGTGTCCTCGCCCTAAGAGGTTGCGGCTCCGACCAGGCCTGAATCGCAAGGCCTCGCCGGGAACCTTCGAAGCTCAGCGCCTCCGCAAAGCTCAACAGCCTGGCCCAGGGCATGTGCCCCTCTATCTCGAGATGGCGCCGGAAGATGTGCGGCTGGCCACGAGTTGGAGTTTGCCGGGATTTGCCCCACATGTCCATGATCTTGTCCCCCACGAAACTTTCAGCGAGCCGGGTTGCACAGAAAAGCAAGCACCATGATAATCATCTGGGCCCAGACCCGAGAATTTTGGCCGGAGCCCACGAAACCCTCATTCCTTGTACTTGCTGTCTCTGAAGTATGTGATTGGCGCGCTGCATCGTGCTTTGCTGTCTCTGAAGTATGTGATTGGCGTGCTGCATCGTGCTTGCTTCTGTGGCTGCATATTATAGACAAGTTCGAGACAGGTACAACTTATTTCTTAGTCATACCCCCTTAGACACCCAGCAATTCTACAGCAACACGCCCCGATCGCCTTACAGCCCGTGCATAGTTATACCCCAGGTATCCCTGGCGGTTTTTTGGTTGGGCAGGATGCCGCCCTGCCCTGCCCTGCTTCTGCCCCTGGCCCTGCCCCTTCCCTGACCTGCCCTGCCTGCTTGCCCCTGCCCCGTCGCAGCTCACTGACAAGCAAGAAGAAATAGAAAAGAGACCATGGAATGAGTTTAGGCCTAAACCCGAAAAGGAACAGGTTTGGGTGGTTAAATGAAAAGAGCCATCCACAATCAGGCTCCAACGACCACTCCCCAATTGTACGAAGAACTCGACGTTACACTGTCGCAAGATACCTCCGCTTATGCGCCGCGTAAACCCTAAACCCTAAAGTCGTCGAACCTACTACTGCAGACCTTGCCAGGCTTGTCCGAGTGTGAGTGTCAAAGAAACCCCAAACCCTAAACCCTAAGCGCCCGCCGCGAGGTTTACAGATGGAGGCGCTGCCAAGGCGCCCGAGCAGGAAGCCAACCAGGAGGCTGCGGAGGAGGTGGACGAGGACCCCAAGAATTGAAACCCTAAACCCGATTACTATGATTGCTATCACTATTGCAACTACTATGACTATTACTATTACTATGACTATGTGTCGCAACATGAAAACCCTGAAAGCAAAACGTCGAGGACAACTGGAGAGGCTCTCTCTCTTTTCTTTGGCTTGTGCTTTTGGAGGTTTGGCTTTTGAGGTTAGCATGTGGCTCGTGCATGCCTCCCGCATCCTCACTGAAAAAGCCAGACTAAGCAAACACCTTTGAAGCCCCGGGCGGCAATCATGCGGTGATCTTCCTTGATTCCTTGAGATCAGGAGCTCTTCTTTCAGGCGACTTTGTGGTAAAGAGTCCTATCGGCTAGGCCCTCGTCAACTTTTTGGGTTTTTCGGACCTTGAGATCGGATCCTCTCCAGGAGGCACGAGGCTGTCTCTTCGCTTCTCGGCGGAATTTCCGATTTCTGGGCCGCAGCGGCCCCCAAGTCCAGAATGGCCAGACGCCTCGGACGTTACGTGGAGCTTCCACTAAACCCTAAACCTTTAAATCCCAACAGCCAAAGAAGCCCAAGGCCTTGCAGAGCAGCAGAGCTGAGGTGAAGAACTTGAGCTTCTCGACGACGGATGATGGCTTGAAGGCTGTCTTTCGCAGCTGCCAGGGCTTCCGCTCGGCCGTGGTGATGCGCAAGAAGGCCCACACTCGTCGGGCTCAGGATGAAGATATCTGTAAACTATCTATAATATATATATATATATATATATACATACACACCTTCATTATATTGTGTTAAGCAGCCACACATCTAGCTCTTGTTTCAATATCTTGCGTTCTTCTGAGCCTGAGCTCTGTTGCAATCAACTTCCGGATTTTGTGCCCTGGCCCAGGCTGCTGTGAAGAAGGGTGCAAAGGCCGCCCAGGAGGAGAAAGGCCTGTCCATGGGATACGGCTTCCTCGAGTTCGAGACGACGGCACAGGCTGGCTTCTGGCCATCTGAAGGTCTTCATGTCTAGCACAAGCCTCCAGAAGCCCGTGCCCCTGAACCCTAAACCCTAAACCCCAATGAGCGGGTCTTCAAGGGGACTTATGGCTCGGGCTCCCGAGCTACAGTGGCCTCTTCAGTTGCTTGTGGGTCGACGGACTTACGGGCCACGACAAGGAACTCGTAAGCTCAGGGCCTCACCGGGCTTCGTCTGAGAGCTTCCGACCATGATTTGGCAACGGAGCTCAGTGACTTCAATCAGCGAGTTTCTCCTTGCTACGATGTTGGGAGGAGACCGGGAGGAGAGCACCAATATCTAAAACCTCCAGACCTTTACTGTAGACGGTCTGCAACTACTGTTGTTCGTAGGAGAAGGACAGATGCAATGTATCCTATGCCCTAAAACCCTGAACCTGGACATGTACTCTTTCAACCCCCTGAAAAATTTTGACGCTCTTGCACGCTGCAGGCGGCCGAGGTCTTGAAGCGCAAGCAGGGCGCGGCCTGTCAGAGATGGCAGTGGCGAGGACGGAGATGATAGTAGTCTGGGCATCGAGAGGATAACGAAGAGCATGCAGGCTGTAGGGGCAGTGTATTTCGGGTTCCGGCGTTGGGGACCCCACTTAGGCAATGATCGACGGCCATGCGGTTCAGCTGCAGATCTCGCAGTCTATTGGCCGCAGCTCAGGGGCTGCTGGGTCAGTTGGGGCTTTGGGTTCAGGGTTCGGTGAAGTCGCAGGTGAAGTCGCAGGAGCCCCGGTGCAACGAGGGAATGCAAATACTGTAGCCATTTTGGCTTAAGCTTTTTAACTCGGGGGTGGGATTGGAAGACTTCCATTGTGCAGTTGTAGGCACAATGGCTCGTGTTTTCATGTGTGCCACGGCACTGCTTGCATCTGTCTGCTTCGTTGTGCCTCGTCCAGAACATCCGCGATTCCAAGTGAATCAACTTCGATTTCGGAAGACAGACAGGCAATGCAAGCAGACTGCACTGGCATCAGCAACTCTCTGCTTAAGTTTGAGCTTGGTCACTGGAGTCTCGACGTATACATGGCAAGCGCGAAACAAGTGTCGTGCGCCATTACGACAATGCCGGCTCCGAAGCATCGACGATGAGAGCATGCTGCTGTTGGCTGAAGCTCGACGGCTACGGGCTGAAGCTGCCAACTTAGAGCAGGAACAGTTGAGAGCAAAAGAGCTGATGATGGTTCGCGGCGGCTTGGAACTAGTCCAGCACCAGCCAGATTGGCCCCAGCCGATGACTGCGCCGGCACTAAAAGCCCTTACCCATGTGAAGCCAAGAGTCCAGAGGGAGACCAAACCTCCACGGTCAGCCCAGCCAGAGCCTCATGTGAAGCCCGTGGAAGACTTTGAGTACGAGATTCCTGTCATGGACCATTCCTTGCGGCTGCTGGCAACACTGCCATACTTGCTACCAGCCATTGATGCCTGGCGCTTCTTTGGTGTTGGCATCGCATTCGAAGCCTGGCCTGCGCTGTACATGGAGTGGACGTCCTTGGCAACAGAGGTCCCAGAGGACTTCCCCTGCATCTTCGCCGCGCTGTATCCCGTGCTACTGTTTGGCATGCCCTTGATCGCAGTGCGACGATGGCTGCCAGAACTCCTGCGTGTGAACCTCAATCAGGCTTTCCTGTTCAGCGGGATCCTCTGTCTTGCTTTTCACCTCTCCGCTTTCAGCCGATGGTTGGCGTTCCTGTGTGCCGGCGATGATGCACTGTATGTGCCAGCTGCTGCAGAGCCGCCTTTGATGCCTGGTGGTCATGTACTGTTGCCGCTAATGGCAGCGTGCATCGTCTACAGCATCTACTGCACACTTTGCAGAGGCACTTTTCCCGACAAGATCCCTTTCATTTCTGCTGAAGCTAGAAGAAGCTTGGGGACTAGCCCGACTGCTCTGAGGAGCAAGTCGTGCTCCAATTTCTTGGAGCGCAAGTCGCGAAGCCACAGGATCCTTCCGGGAGCCCACCGAGACGATGCGGATTAGATCAAGCGCCTCCTTCATCCCCATCCCAACCGAACGCTGCCGGGTGCATGTCTTCGGGGCTTAATTACTGAGCGTTCCTCACATGTACAGTGCATCCCATACAGTTCCGGTGCATGTCTACTATGTGTCTCCGAAACGACCGGCGATCTGAACAGTCTGCTCGATTTGTTACGTTCCATGTCGAATTTTGACTCGCCGCTCGCCATCCATGAAGTTGTAAACTTGTAGAACCGGATGGCATGCCACAGCGATGCGAGATGTGCGATCACAAGATTCGCGCTTAGAGTACGTCGGGATGCTTGTTCCGTTCAAGAATGAACATGAGCTCGATCGACAAAGGCCAAGCAACATGTCTCAGTAAGATGTTTGCTTCGGATTCGCACCTCTCTCGTGAACATGGCTGCAGCAGTCTTTGGCTTGCAAGATCTTGCGAGGTCGTTTGTCGTGTTGTGAAGAAGCTGCACCGTCCCGTGTGACGATGGCACGCACTTCGGTGATGGCAGCAGCGGCCATGCTCTTTGCACCGCTCTGCTTCGTTGCGCCTGGTCCTTTTCAAGTGGCTCCTGTTGTGCGGCAGGCAAGATCCAGCGGCAGCGCGCACCAGCGAGCACCCGCGATGTCGGCAGCCTTGTGTTTGAGCGCAGCCATCGGAGCAGCATTCCTGAGAAAGGACTCGGGCAAGGCCACCCAGGCTTCGAAGACAACACGACGCTACACGACCCAAACCATCGTCCCAAGTTTGCAGTGGCTCAAGACTGGACTTCGAGGCAACGACTTGCAACCTGGCGAACTGAGGGCTTACGGAATTGCCGGGTGCGATGTGTGCGTTGGTAAGACGCAAGACGGAAAGCTCTTCGCTGTTGGAGACAAGGCCCCTCCCACCGGCACATCCTTGAGTGTGGGTGCTGAGGTTCAGGGAAGTAAGATCTTGGATGGACAGTTCGGAAACGTCTTTGATTGCTTCACTGGCCAGCCGGAGGGGGATTGGTGCCCTTCGCCGCCGGGCATCGGCAAGTTCGTCGCTTGGTTCATCGGACGGAAGGAGGCACTTCCAACGTTCGAGATTCGCGAGGCCTTCCTCTCCGGTGACATCGAGGTCATGGTCGACACCAATGCAAAGGCTGCTTACGAAAGCTGGTACTGGAAGGGTCTCCTGGATGCCCAGGGCAAGGATGATGGAACTTATTACTAGTAGGCTGTAAATCACTACACTAGCCGTCACTAGCCTGTACAGTGTGCGCCATGCAGCATATAGGCCCCGGCGCACGGCGGTGCGCTTCAAGTATTGAAGGCAGCGGACCACAGCGCTGCCACGAACGTGTGTGATTTGTGCTCGATTTGTTAAGTGCCAAGTCAGATTTTGATAAATTTTGACTCGCCGCCCGCCATCCATGAAGTTGTAAACTTGTAGAACCGGATGGCATGCCACAGCGATGCGAGATGTGCGATCACAAGATTCGCGCTTAGAGTACGTCGGGATGCTTGTTCCGTTCAAGAATGAACATGAGCTCGATCGACAAAGGCCAAGCAACATGTCTCAGTAAGATGTTTGCTTCGGATTCGCACCTCTCTCGTGAACATGGCTGCAGCAGTCTTTGGCTTGCAAGATCTTGCGAGGTCGTTTGTCGTGTTGTGAAGCAGCTGCACCGTCCCGTGTGACGATGGCACGCACTTCGGTGATGGCAGCAGCGGCCATGCTCTTTGCACCGCTCTGCTTCGTTGCGCCTGGTCCTTTTCAAGTGGCTCCTGTTGTGCGGCAGGCAAGATCCAGCGGCAGCGCGCACCAGCGAGCACCCGCGATGTCGGCAGCCTTGTGTTTGAGCGCAGCCATGGGAGCAGCATTCCTGAGAAAGGACTCGGGCAAGGCCACCCAGGCTTCGAAGACAACACGACGCTACACGACCCAGACCATCGTCCCAAGTTTGCAGTGGCTCAAGACTGGACTTCGAGGCAACGAGTTGCAACCGGGCGAACTGAGGGCTTACGGAATTGCCGGGTGCGATGTGTGCGTTGGTAAGACGCAAGACGGAAAGCTCTTCGCTGTTGGAGACAAGGCCCCTCCCACCGGCACATCCTTGAGTGTGGGTGCTGAGGTTCAGGGAAGTAAGATCTTGGATGGACAGTTCGGAAACGTCTTTGATTGCTTCACTGGCCAGCCGGAGGGGGATTGGTGCCCTTCGCCGCCGGGCATCGGCAAGTTCGTCGCCTGGTTCATCGGACGGAAGGAGGCACTTCCAACGTTCGAGATTCGCGAGGCCTTCCTCTCCGGTGACATCGAGGTCATGGTCGACACCAATGCAAAGGCTGCTTACGAAAGCTGGTACTGGAAGGGTCTCCTGGATGCCCAGGGCAAGGATGATGGAACTTATTACTAGTAGGCTGTAAATCACTACACTAGCCGTCACTAGCCTGTACAGTGTGCGCCATGCAGCATATAGGCCCCGGCGCACGGCGGTGCGCTTCAAGTATTGAAGGCAGCGGACCACAGCGCTGCCACGAACGTGTGTGATTTGTGCTCGATTTGTTAAGTGCCAAGTCAGATTTTGATAAATTTTGACTCGCCGCCCGCCATCCATGAAGTTGTAAACTTGTAGAACCGGATGGCATGCCACAGCGATGCGAGATGTGCGATCACAAGATTCGCGCTTAGAGTACGTCGGGATGCTTGTTCCGTTCAAGAATGAACATGAGCTCGATCGACAAAGGCCAAGCAACATGTCTCAGTAAGATGTTTGCTTCGGATTCGCACCTCTCTCGTGAACATGGCTGCAGCAGTCTTTGGCTTGCAAGATCTTGCGAGGTCGTTTGTCGTGTTGTGAAGCAGCTGCACCGTCCCGTGTGACGATGGCACGCACTTCGGTGATGGCAGCAGCGGCCATGCTCTTTGCACCGCTCTGCTTCGTTGCGCCTGGTCCTTTTCAAGTGGCTCCTGTTGTGCGGCAGGCAAGATCCAGCGGCAGCGCGCACCAGCGAGCACCCGCGATGTCGGCAGCCTTGTGTTTGAGCGCAGCCATCGGAGCAGCATTCCTGAGAAAGGACTTGGGCAAGGCCACCCAGGCTTCGAAGACAACACGACGCTACACGACCCAGACCATCGTCCCAAGTTTGCAGTGGCTCAAGACTGGACTTCGAGGCAACGAGTTGCAACCGGGCGAACTGAGGGCTTACGGAATTGCCGGGTGCGATGTGTGCGTTGGTAAGACGCAAGACGGAAAGCTCTTCGCTGTTGGAGACAAGGCCCCTCCCACCGGCACATCCTTGAGTGTGGGTGCTGAGGTTCAGGGAAGTAAGATCTTGGATGGACAGTTCGGAAACGTCTTTGATTGCTTCACTGGCCAGCCGGAGGGGGATTGGTGCCCTTCGCCGCCGGGCATCGGCAAGTTCGTCGCCTGGTTCATCGGACGGAAGGAGGCAATTCCAACGTTCGAGATTCGCGAGGCCTTCCTCTCCGGTGACATCGAGGTCATGGTCGACACCAATGCAAAGGCTGCTTACGAAAGCTGGTACTGGAAGGGTCTCCTGGATGCCCAGGGCAAGGATGATGGAACTTATTACTAGTAGGCTGTAAATCACTACACTAGCCGTCACTAGCCTGTACAGTGTGCGCCATGCAGCATATAGGCCCCGGCGCACGGCGGTGCGCTTCAAGTATTGAAGGCAGCGGACCACAGCGCTGCCACGAACGTGTGTGATTTGTGCTCGATTTGTTAAGTGCCAAGTCAGATTTTGATAAATTTTGACTCGCCGCCCGCCATCCATGAAGTTGTAAACTTGTAGAGCCGGATGGCATGCCACAGCGATGCGAGATGTGCGATCACAAGATTCGCATTATTCCAAGACGCAGACGTTCTCTTCAAAGTGTGGCTTGTTCTGCGATGCATCCCAAGGCAGCATTCAAGAGTATGCGCCAGCGCACTGCGATCATGGTGCTTGTTTTGAATTTCCGTTGCTCTCTTGCTTGATGGCGTTGGCTTTGACGATTCAGCAAAATTTTACAGTGAAGCATCTTGGATTATAGTTCACACCGACCCTGCAGCCTAAACCCCTATATACGTTGAAATGCCTCAACCCCTACACCTCAAGCCCCGGACCCTAAGCCCTAAACCCCCACGAGCGCAAGCTTTGGAAGCTTCGAGGCGGGGGACCAAAACTCCCCGGGGCGGCCAGCAGGTTTCCAAGGCGAAGCAGCAAGGCCAGAGAATCGGAGGGCGGGAGATGCTTGCTCCTTGTAGCTTCACGAAGAGAGGCATCGCTCCCTGCACCTTGCGAGCGAGAGAAATTATGTGGAGACGTGCAAGCTGCCCGCTCTGTAATGTTGCCCATGGCAAGTTAGATTTCCTTCACAGTACACGTATTAGTATGGCATGCGAATGGCTAGTGGAGAGAGTCCGAGAGAGAGAGAGAGAGAGAGAGAGAGAGAGCTCGGACTGCCCCCGTGTTGCGAAGGCATCAAATCCTCGAGCATTTGCGTGAGGAACATCGCCTTCGAAGCCACGAGCCCCTTGTTGCTGCACCGGGTGGGGGGAGCGCATCCTCGTCCTCGTCACAGTCGCCGTCGTCGTCGTTGTCATCGTTATCCGATTTCGGAGATCCGTGTCCCAGGGAAGGAGCTGTACCAGCTCTTCGGTGCCTACGGCACGGTGACTTCCTGCCGGCTGCCGAAGAAGTCCGACTACTCGGGCCACCGAGGTCTCGGTGGGGGATTTGGGGGATGTGGAGTTACTCGTGACCGCGCGTGAGTCGGTGCTTGGATCGAGGATCTTCGGGGGATGTGCTGTAAGATCAAGGGTTTTCTGTGGAGCTACAGGATTTTTAGCCGGCAGCTTTTCGGTGCGACCGGTGACCTGATGCTGCCGCTGTTGCCACTCTGAGGTTGCCCTTTGATGCGCAATTACTCCTCGTAGGCCTGCCCATCTACTGTTAAATCGCAAGCCCTTGGAAGCCACGCAGAATTCCTTACCATCCGGCATGGGAACTGAGCGGGCGCCAAGCTCCTGCTTCGAGTTTTTGGCAAAGTGGACGGAGCTCCTGGCCGGGTAGCCAGGAGTTATCCATCGCGTAGGTTTGCAGACTTTCAGATCTGCTTTAGGAGGCCGCCCTTTTGCAAAGAACCTTGGATCTAGCTCCGCCTGGAAACAAGATCTTGCCCAAGATTTACTGGAGATACTCAGATCGGTAAGGGAGGAAGTTTGGGTTCTGGGCTATCTGACCTTTGACTTCGCCGAGAGGCTTTTGGAAGTTTGAGCCCCAGGGACGTCGAGCTAGCATAGTAAGATACCCTAGTAACCCGAAACCCGAAAGAACCCTATAATAACTTGGCATAGTAGTATGGCCCTATGATATCCCGAACTCCATCGTGGCCCTAGTTCCCCAAGTCACTACAGTGCTCCGGGAGGCGACTCTGACGCCCTAAAGGCGAAGCCGTGTTCTGACGCCCCAAAGCCTTGTAGTAGCCCTACCATCATAGCCCTTCAGAAACCCTACCCTAAATCTTAGACCTTAAACCATGGTATCAGTTCTGACCTTACAACAATGCTTTTGTGACCTTACGAACACCAAAGCCCTCCAAACTCTCCTGAGGAGCCGGGTCCCTAACAGGGGGCTGGAGTCTGGAGGTAATCGAGGGCTAATCGAGGGTTATCACAAGGCCATGATGGGTTCATTCTAGTAAACTTACCCGACCATCTGGCCTATCATACATGAGCCTCTAGATCTTTAGAGGGGCCCTTGAGGGAACCCTTCAGGGAGCCCTTTAAGGGAGCCCTTTAAGGGATCTATTTTGGGGGGTTGCTTTAAGTGAGCCCTTTTGGGCTGAAATCCCCCGGCGCCAGGCTTCGCCTTCATCGACTTCGCCTCACGGGGCGAGGCCGCCGCCGCCTTCGAGGCCGGGGGCCCTCGCGGGAGAGAATCCCAAAAGGGACGAAGATTTTTTCAAATCGGGTCTCCTTAAAGGGCGGTATAGGGTTCTATTATTTATCATTTTGGGGGGGAAGATTTTCAGGGGGCCCCTTAAGGGAACTGGGGGCTTCCATAGTAGGGGTTCAGGGGACGAAGATGCCATGGGGTTCTAGAATAGGGTCACCTTGAAGGGAGCTCGAGGGGTTCCATAATTGGGGCCATTCGAGGAACTACGGAGTTTTAAAAAACCGTCCCCATAAGGTCTCCTTAAAGGGAGCTACAGGGTTCTATTATTGGGGCCCTTAGCCTTTCAGGGAACCCTTCAAGGAGCCCTTAGGTAGGCTTGAGGGATCCTGTAAGGGGCCCTGTAAGGGTTTCTTGAAGGGGCCATGCCATCTACATTAGATACGATAAGATACAATGCTGATTATAAATTATCTAATTATACTATACTATACTATATTATAGTATACTACATTATATTTCATTTTTTTATACTAGATCATATTATACTTACTGTATGTTATTATATCATGTTATATTGCTTTTAGAGCCAGGATCATGTGGGGTCTCTGCTCTTAAAGTTGGGATAGTTGGGAGCCTTGATGTCAGAGAATAAAGTGTGTGAATTGAAACGAAAGAAGACAAAGACACGGAGTGCATGTTTGCTTCATGTACTTAAAACACACACACACACAAGAGACCGAAACGACGAATTTTGCTTCTTTATGTTTCCTTTAGGTGATTTCTCTGTTGTCTTTCTCACTGACGTACTCGTTTGTTCCAATCCTATAGATGCTGTAGATTGTAGATAGAAGACCTAAGCTTCGAGTGCTTCCTTGCAGGGTCAGTACACTACAGGCTTTCCTGGCTTCGAGACTTTCCTCCACAACCCAGACCGACGTTTGGGAAAAGTTTGCTTTGCAGCTTCCCAGCTAGTTCCGTCCGGAAACATGCGCAACCGACAAGCGTGAAGGCGCTGCAGCACAGCCATCTCTACGGCCGTCGCTTGGCCAGATGACTCTCCCAAATCGCTTTTAGCCATTTGGGTTCGTAGGGTTCAGGGTTTGGGATTTTCAGCCCCATAGTGAACAGCGAGAGAGTGGTCGACAGCCCAGCGAGATCTGCGCCAAATCGCGGCTTGGGCGTGGGACTTCCGTGGATGATCCGGGCACCTGGGGGTGTGGAGCCAAGCACCGAGCCTCAACCCACCAAGCTGCCAGCCCAGTAAGACAGCACTGAAAGCATGAAGCGCATTCTACCCCTCAGTCACAACATGCTGTACATTCTATTGCCTGGCCAAGCAGTTCCCTCTTTACTTCTTTGTTTGTTCGATTTGTCGGTCGTTCAGCAGCAATGTACGACTCCGCTCGGCCGCGAAGTTGAAGGACTGTCCTTTGGATGCTTTCGGTCCTATAAATAATGGTTGAGTTTAGACTAGGCTCTTTTTGCCGCAAATCTACCGTGCCTGCAGTCC